TATGCTTTGGTGTTCAATTTTCTATGTGCTAACATGACAATTTTTTGTGTGTTTTGGGATTGGGGAGCATCTTCTAGTGTATGGCTATGCCTAATATTCTACTCTGTTATTTTCTGACGCAATATGAGTTTCGTGAAGTAGTATGATTACATTATTTTCTTACTCTCTTACAGTCGATTGATGGATCCACTAACTACAGATTTGAGGAATATGAATAGTTTAGCGAAGGTATGGATCTACGGATGCTGATTTTTTGGTTTACTAAAATAAAAATTATAATATGGTTGTATTTGCATGCTCCCATGCTCTGCTGTGAAATTGTCTGAGAAGTGTAGATTTGTTTATGGTGTGTCAGAAAATGAGATTAAGGCGTATAGAGAGAGGAGCTTTGACTCTTGCATCTGCTGAAGTTAAATTTCAAATTGACACAGAGACACATGACCCTCTTGATATTGGTATGATCTTATTTATCATTTATTATATCCTTTGGGGTTGTGGGGGTGTGCAACTGTGTATTTTTCTTATTGGGTAAAAAGTTCCTGCTAGTGCCATTTGTTTATTCATTCTAGGAAGATGTCAGGTGTCTGTAACGGAATCCTTATTATTCATGTATAAGCTATAAACTTTCTGCATGAGTTCTGAAACTGGTTTGTGACTGGCAAGTTTTGGTTGAGTAAGTGTTTGAAGGATATGGCCGAGGCCATGGAAGGTCTACATTATAAAGAATAAGAAGGCTGAAGCAATTAGTGGTTTGATTTAATGTTTATATATTAGGCAGTCAGTATTAGTGTTTTAGGCAGTTATTGTATTATGTTTATGTGTGTGGTGTGGGTGTAACAATTCTCCGGCTCAGCCATGACTAAGGCGACACAAGAACATATGCTTATTTCTAAGAAGATTCATGTATTAGTATGATCTTGAGTTTGGGTTTTGGAATTTTGATTTCTAAAATAACTCGGACGGAAGATCATTTTTGAGATTGTAATTATAATAGTATTATTTAGTTTTTTTGCTAGTAAGTTGAGTGTTTTTGAGCTTGGCTTGCAGGAAGCAGTACTTAAATTATAATCATAAGTAGGGGTAAATGGTCATTATATGTATATTTACCCAGATTCTCATCACTGTAATATATCGTATTGTGTTTCCATATATTCCCTAAAATTTGAAAAGTAATTTCCTTGCTTTCTCTCTAGGATGAGTAGTTGCAGATGTAGTTGAATTGTATATTTTGTAGAAGAGCAACTTAGATTTATGATTTTTTTTTACTTTTCATTAGCTTCTCCTTCATGCCAAGGAGAGCGGAAAAAGGCAGTTTTTCTCACACCCCATCCCTTCCACCTCCATTTCCCCCCTTTAGAAATTGATTCTACTGTTTGCTTTTATTTGCAGGTATGTACCAGATCCGGGAAGCCAACCAAATGGTGGAGGAGTTTATGCTTGCTGCTAATGTTTCTGTCGCACAACAAATTCTTAAAAGTTTTCCTTTGTGCTCATTATTAAGGTTGTTTTCTAATCTGACTTTTTATTTGGGGAAATCTGTGTTTTCTCTCTAGGGCTGCCTGGTATTTGAATATGCATTTGGCACATTAAGTAATTTCTGATTGCATGCTCTAATGCAAGTACTTTCCCTTGCACAAGTTTTGTTTGATAGTAGGCATAAAAATGAATCTCACCAAGCATAACTGATTATCACCCAAGAAAACCAAAGAACAAACCATAAATTTAAGAGTAGTTTTGATTGAAAATTCAGCAAAAATACCAAACACCCTCGAGGTGATATTTATGACTCCTAAATTACTTTAATGTACCAAATATTGAATAAAGAAGATACCCAAAACACTCCCAAATGGATATTTATGACTGCTAAATTGCTTAAACTAAGTCTTGTTTAAAGAGTTAAAGACTTACATTAAATCCTAATAAAATATTGAAACTAAAATAGAGATAGCTCATCATAAGATAAAATAAAATTCTGCGTCAATAACCTTAATGTGTCATTTAATCTTGTAATCTCTAATTCTGAACAATTCCTACTAGTGAAGGACAGAATTTGATATTTGCAATATTAAAATTGGAAGTTGTCACCTGGTTGATATTTTGTTCTTATTTTTTGGAAGCTGACTATTACTATACTAAATGAAATTGAAATGTGTTGATAACTTTCCCAACTATGTCACATAGAAATAGCTAAAACAATTGCACTGGAAAAATACTGTAATTGCAATCCTGGTAATTGTTAGTTCTTGTGTAGGCGTCATCCAACTCCAACTAAAGAGATGCTTGAACCTTTGCTACGTACTGCTGCTGCTATTGGCCTGCACTTGGATGTCTCTACATCAAAAGCAATGGCTGATTCTCTTGACCATGCTGTGGTAATTAATATTTTTTTTTGCTATTTATTTTGCATCATTCTCGTTTTTTAATGTTTCATGTGACATTATATTATGTATAGTCATGGATAATATTATAATGTTTTTGGCCACATCATCATTAATGGTTTACATTTCATAGCTCACATTGCTAAGCATAGCGTTTCTGAGGGTCTTGCTTGGTCTTCATTGTTTTCTCCAGTTCCCCCTCTAATACAGAAATATATTTTCAGGGAGATGATCCATACTTCAATAAGTTAATACGTATTCTGGCTACTAGGTGCATGAGTCAGGTAAATTGAATATGAACTTGAGTACCCATATTTAGAATTTACGGGGGAAACTTGATTTTCTTTCTGTTTTCTTCTCTTAGGCAGTTTATTTCTGCAGTGGGGAACTTAGCCCCCCAGAATATCATCATTATGGGCTTGCAGCTCCTCTATATACCCATTTCACATCACCTATAAGAAGATATGCTGGTAGGTATCAGTTACAATAGTATGTTGTTTACTGGGTCAATTGTGCACTATAATACAAGACCCTACATTGTTCCTTGCAGATGTCATTGTGCACAGGCTACTTGCTGCTTCATTAGGAATATTCAAGCTACCACCAATATTTCAAGACCGGGGTCAACTCACTAGCATTTCAGACAGTATGAAATCTCTTAAATGATCTACTTAGAACTTGAATGCTAGGTTTATTTTCTTAATTTTGTCAATGTCTTAATGGAAGTTTTCTATATCATAACTTTATTCATTTAGAATCTAATGGCAATTTTCTCTTCATTTGTGTTGTTCTTTTTGTGTCGTATATACTAAATCTTAATAATGTTCTTTACACATGTGTTTAGATTTGAATTATCGACATAGGAATGCTCAGATGGCAGGCCGGGCCTCTGTAGAACTCCATACTCTCATTTATTTCCGGAAGAGGTACATGAAACATCCCCCCCCCCCCCACCCCCACTGTTACTTCTTATCTGTTTGCACCTTCAGCTTATTCTGGAATCCATCTTTGCTCATGCAGGCCAACTGATACAGAGGCTAGGATAGTGAAAATAAGATCCAATGGATTTTTTGTGTTTGTTCCCAAGTAAAGTTTCTTACTCACTTGTCTTTTCTTTTCTTTGCTTTGTCATTTAACCCATAATGGCATCATTCGAATCATATAGCCGATCCCACTTGATGGAATCAAGGTTTGGTTGTCGTTTTCATTTAGCCCATGAAAGGTTACTTGAGAAGACCAATAAAACGAGGAAAGTGAATGTATCAATATAATTTTTTAAGCAGGACATAGTTGTCTCCATAATATTAATGATTGAAGGCAGCTTTAGATCTCTTTATACTGTCATTCAGTTTGTCATTTACAGCATGCATTTGATCCCTGTGCAGATACGGTATAGAAGGACCTGTCTATTTGACAACAAGATCTGAAAAAGGAGGCGGAGAATGGTACATTGACGAACAACAGCAGAAGATTAAAAAGATGGATGGTAGCCTTTCATACAGCATTTTGCAGTCAGTCCAAATTCACATGGAGGTTGTGGAGCCCCAGCCTAACCGGCCAAAACTTCAGCTTTCTCTCATTTAGTGGTAAGTGAATGAGCATGGATCAACACCAGCATGATGAGAAATTTTGCTCCGATTTTCGATTGCCATCATCATATAAACACTTGTCCGTGAAGGTTTCGCACGAGTTAGTTTTGTTGGAAGAAATAAAACATTGGTTGTGGAGTTCTGATGCAGTCCTTTTACATCTAATTTATGTATAATATGGAAAGTAGGAGTGAACTTTCTGTGTGTAGCAATCTGAACAGCTTATTTATAATGATACCTGTGTTAGCCTTGGCAATGCTATCTTGTGTGAAAATTTTACAAGAGATTCCATAGATCGTTATTTTTTGAAGAATTACATAGTTTGATTTATTATTACTATTATTATTATTATCACCAGCATTATATTTCCAAGTATGCTTGGTATTTGATTGAATCCATAAGTCATTTGTTTGTGGCATAAAACTTTCCGGGGCATGCTATTTCACGAGCAGAATTTAGTAATGCAACTCATAACAAGAAAGAACCTTCTTTTTTAAGAAAGTTATTCAACTTAGATCATCCACTTCGTGTTACTTTTGCCAAACTTATTTACCATCTTGAAAAGTAATGCTTGAGCTGGTAGAGCTTTTGGTTCGGCAGAACCAAAAAATTCATTAGTATAAGCATTATTATTACGCTACACAAAGTAAAAACCAAAAACAGGGCAGCTAAAATATAAGATAAGTAAGCTTCTCTAGATCATAAAAGTTCATCAACCATTAACATGATGTTAGTCTAGTGATGTAAGACTTTGCGAGATCCCCATGATGGTCAAAATATCAAGAGTTCGATTCCTGAAAGTGATACCTGTTAGGAGGGGCACCCATGCACCATGAAAGGGATTAGTTTCTTATCCAAAATGGTGAGAGTATACCCTTAGTAATATCAAAAAAATACAAGTTCGTTTGCCCTTCCAAAAGGTTTTGTTAAGATTTGCCAGATTCCACCAAACTTGAGTTGAGCCATACATGCCCTTCAATCATATCTTCCAAATCGTCTACACTAAATCCATCCTTCTCCACAATGTGATTTTAGTATATAACCATAATACTCAAATTATGAGTCAACTTTGTAATCTTTCTTACATCTTTCTGTATCATGAGTACACCCCAAAATAAGAAGCATTGAATACTAGAAGGATAACACTATAAATAACAAGATTAATGAGAATATTCAAACTTGTAGTCATTTCAATTTGCCATATACCCATCATGATGACAGAAGCTTAAACTATTGAAGCCTAAAATCATACATCACTACAAGTCTAACTTGAAGAGTGAACCAACAAAACTCATACATACATACATGGCAATGTCTATTTGGATAAATAACATGTTCCATAATTGTAGTAAATTTGACTCTTTAATATATAGGGTAAAACCTAGTCTAGCTTTGAAACAAATCTAATTGACTTTGCATTAAAATGAATCACATCTTCATTTCATTGAGTGTTGAGCAGGGAAATGAAAGTAGTAAAATTTTCAGGAAATGAACCTAATTCAAGCATGCTTGCCAATTATGCATACAATCTCCTAAGCTTTTAAAATTGCCAGATAGTCATCGATTATAGACATCGATGATGACCGATATCCGGAACCAAAGAGATTATAATGATTTAAATAGTGATACAGCATATAAAGGTCTCTCCTTTCCTCAAAGCCTGGCTGTTTAGGTATCACCTGGAAAAATCATATGCAGTTATCAACATAAGAATATCAATGTATGAACATGCTAGCCGATAATACGATTCATTCTGTCGGAACACGCAAGTAAATCCATTATAAGCTATTTTAACAAGGATACTGAGAAGGCAAGCAAATAGTCACATGGTTGATGAAAACCATCTTGCTGTTTTGGTAAGTATATAGATTGATATAATGCAAATTAGTTGAACCCAATGATTTTTGGAAGCATTGTTTATTTGATTTCATGCAATATGATCTTACACAAACAAATAAAGATGATATAAATCCTCAAATGTTGTGGTCAACATATGACGTTCGAAACAAGACCAGATTTTGTGTCTAGCTCGCAGATGCCGTACTCAACCAAGATTCTAAGAGTAAAGGGGAAAGAAATTGAATGTACCAATCAATTCTCAGGCAAAACTTTCCTTTAAAAAATGTATGCTATATATACTTAATTTGAAACAAACAGAAAAAAAGATAAAGGAAATCAAAAGAGAGAGAGATAAGAATTACATGCCTCAAAATAAGAATTATAGAATGATCCTCCAAAGCCTGCACACCAAGACATTCCAAATTCTGCCTCACTATGCCCATCTATAGAATAAGACAACAACAGAAACTGCATCATTTCAACTTTGATTCTTCACAACTCAGTTCTTTTCTGTTAATCACATTTTGTTTGGTAGGCACTTACATAGCAAGTCTATAATACTCAAAAGACACTACTTATCCAATAACTTGTAAACAAAAACTTATTTTTTTTCTCCTTTTTGTTTGTATTTTTGTGTGTTGAATCCAGATATCTGGTTGCTCAAATTTCAATTGTTAATAATCTAGTTCCAAATGTTAGTTGGCATACAACACATTCTTACAGTAACATGCAGGGTCCAGTATGACAGGTTCTCCATTTTTGTCAGAGCTTATGTTTCCACTCCAAAGATCTCCATGTAGTAAGCATGGTTCTATTACCACATTGTCAAAAAGGGGTCCCATGCTTTTAACTAGTCTCTGTCCTGTTGAAGAAGTAAATCAGATATAAATAGCGCTCATTTTAGTAAACACGAAACATTATTAAACTATGTAATGCAAAATATAATAAGCCAAAATCTTGAACAATGGACAAGTGTGACAAATCTAATAGCAATTAGAAGGAATCCAATATATGAAAGGTCAAGAGCCTCTTATTCTCCCAATTTCAATGGACTTAATGAATTCTTTCATGTACCCAATCTATCTGTGTTGAAGTTTCGACTGACCTGTTTGTTTTATTCGATCTAAATATATCCATACACCGAAATACGATTTCTGGCAAAAAATTAATTGATGGGAAGAGCAGTAATACCAGATTAAAATTACCCTTTTCGTAAATGGTTTTGTCACCATACTGGTCTAATGCAAGCTTCAACTGGTAACCCAATCGACACTCTCCATAAAATTGAATCCAATCTGATGACCAGGTGTTTATTTGTGGAGTGCTACAGCATAATATACATAACATCGTGGGAACGGATTAGTACCAAACACCTCCTTTATAAAAGTTTATAAACATCGGCGTGTACTGTTCTGTGGATATATCTAAACATGCAGCACTTGGCTAGGTAAGATATAGAGACATGAAAATTATAGGAATACCAATTGAAACAGAAATGGTAACTTTCAAGATGAAGGCATATTATACCTGCCAATGGTGTTATTAACATCGAAACCATATCCTTTATTAGATTTTCCGGCTTTATGCATTTCGCCAAGCTTCCTCCCTAGAGCAGACTGGGAACAATAAATTACAATTAAGCTTCAAAAGCTTTCCTAATTAGCAGTTAGTTCTCGGTAACTCACCTGATTGCCTCTAGATGCACCAAATTCTATGAATTCCATAACGATGAATGAACCACCCGTAGGTAGCGGTCCAACCTGCAATTTCCTAGTAACACGTTAACTCTCATGTTCTCTCCAGCTTGCTATAGCTAGCAAATAGTTGTAGCTTTCACAAAATTAATGTTAAATCTTCCAACCTTGTGTGGCTTAGGCACACGGATGGTCCCAGTTTCATACATAGCTTCTAAACCGAGAGCCTCTGCTTCAAACATGGACGGTCCAATACTTCTGATATAGAATTTCAAGTGTCATATATAAGATGCAGAGGGAATGAAGCTTTTAGTAAAAGATAATTGAAACAATCCAATACATTCAAAATGAAAATTTCAAGTTTTAGTCCCAAAGGTGAAAGGAAAGTTTCAATCAGCAAGCCGAAACGGAAGTGCCAGCGTGTTATAATATATTCATACCTGTTTGTTTTCACAAAGAAAGAACCAGCATCAGTGTCATAGCGACTAGCGAGATTGATACAACCACCACCAACAGGTCTAATTTTGGTTATCTTTGTAGCTTGCCCTTCGGAAAGAATCCACTCATGAACTGGATCTTGGCTCATGCTCATACTGGATACTGCGAAAGAAGTATAAGCTTAGGAACCTAAACCTTTGTTATCTTTCAACAAGGTATAATTCAATGACATTAAATAACTCAAGCAGGATTCAAATTCTGCACAGTCATAGGCTCTTATTACAATCCTGCTATATAGTCCATCATCGATCGTTAATCTGAGATTTCATTAACCCCCTTTTGTTTTTGTTTCAAAAGAGTGATTCTCCAGAATCAATTTTGGCAGAAACAGTTTTGTAAGAAGTTGAAAAAAATCAATTTTTTTAGTAAAAGTCCAACCAAACATGAAAGTCAGAATCTTTCTTTAATAAAAAAGAAAAAATCTTAACAATTGGGCTCTTACCATACCCTAAGAACTAAGAAGTAAGAACTAAAGGAAGCACATAACACTGTTTACTGCAGCTCAATAATTTTATCCATTACAGCACAAATTAACCACAATCTATGAAAAACCCAAACATATAGAGGCATTAAAAAACATGAAATTGCATGCAACATTGCATATAAAGTGTTCACAAATAATTTTTTTCTGCAGGAAATAAGTCATAATTCATGTCCCAAGAAATTCATGGATGAGAAACATCTCAAACCCAAGCAACAACTTGGATTGACAAATAAAAATTCATAGACATTACTTAAAATATTATTATTTTACATCATTCATGGTAATATCTGAAAAACCTTGTACTGGGTTCTGTGACCACTGGAATGGATTGAAATAAAAGTATAAAAAGATTAATATTACTACTTACTTGGTGATAGTTTGGATTTGGTTTTGGAGAGAGAAGGTGGAAGAAGTGAAGGGTATATGAGTCCCACGTTTGCACCCGTTAACTGTCCTAACATTCCTTCTTCCCTTTACCAACACAACCACCGCTCACTCCTTACCTTATAACTCCTTTTTATTTTATTTTATTTGTTATGGGTAAGACTCGAAGACTCAATTTCCTTCACTTCATTCATTCTCTTTAATCATCAAATCACTTTTTAATTTGTTATGAGTGAGACTCAAACCCACAAATTTCATCACTCTATTCCTTAAACCTTTCACTTTAAACATCAGACCACCTACTTTCATCCTCCATATATTATGCCATGCAAGATTAAAGACAAGGTGTCATATTATTAGAGAGAAAAATAAAAGTTCTCAGGACACGAAAAATGTAAACCTATGTATATCTATATCAAACTCACTGCAAAAGATTGTATTAAATACTACATATATTATATTATTAAAAATGTGTAATGGTAATTAAATATAATATTTACTTTATTTGTCTAGAAAGATTTTCAACTTTTAAATGGCTTTCTTTTATATTTCTTCACTATTTTTGTGGACATATGGAGTAATATTTTCATAGAAAAAACAAAGTATACAATAGATTATGATAATTTGAGAACAACTATTTTTTCATTAGGGTGTACATCAAAGAAAACCGATCTACAAAATTTGACTATATATTTAATGCATAACACTATTAATTTTCTATGTTCATACAAATAAACTTACTTAATGTGCATTATATGCTGGTTTGAATAAGGAAGTGTATAAAAAAACAAAGGGAAAAATATTGTGATATTCCTATTTTATCCTTTAGATGTAATGTGATGACATTTTTACCCTTAAATATATATTTAAGACAAAATTAATAATTTAATTCTCCATTACTGGAGATAATTATTTACTATAATATGGAATCTCAATTATGAATTATCACTTTTTAATTGATTTAAATAATTTTTTTAATTAAATTGAGAAATTCTATTTATTTATTTTTGCACATGATACATAGAATGAAACACTAGATATTTTTCCTAAAATGAGAAAGCAACGAATAAGAGTGTAATCCTTCAATAAGGTGAGACTTTTGTACAGTATAAAAGATTTGTCATTTTAAAGAGTCTTATCCAATATTTTCTCCATTTACCCCTCTTTCCTAACTCTTCATATGCAGTGTGTAACATTGGTTAGAAAAGTTGCTATTGAAAATAATTGTAGAAGAGATAAATAATTATTTAATCGAACATGAATATGTTGTTGCTTCTTGCTCAAGAAATTGAGATTTCAACT